AGTCGAAGTTCATGGTTGATAATAAATAGTAATATAGGAAAAGCCAACTGATGAAATATGAAAATATATTAATTATTATACTATGTAGACTGTATAATTCAGATCTTACACTTAAACCTACCAGTAATAATTTTGGTGTTAATTTTGTTGCAAATGAAGTAGACATAGAGACTGAATGTAAGAACTAGACTAAACAATGTGTTATATAATGGTTGGTTGACTACAACAAAAAGGTATACAAGCACCACTAATACTATAGAAAAGAAGAAATTAAAATATAAAATTGAAATACTTTGAATTAAAAATCAAAGTTAAAAAGACAGTGTATAACTGTGTATTATAAAATTGAAAATATCAAAGCATTACTCAAGACCAACTGACCAACAGTGGGAGATGTTAAAATATATGCAACTGTGGAAATAGTATATCTGAATTAACATGAGGTATGGGGAGTGTAATTAATGCCAACTGTCCCCTGTAATTAATTCCCTGCGAAGTGTCTTCTTCTTCTTGATGTGCCTATTCGTTACGAATGTTGGCGATCACCATGGCAATCTTTATCTTATCTGCAACAGCTCGGAAAAGCTGCACAGATGTTGTATTGAACCAGATTCTGAGGTTCTTTAACCAAGATGTTCTTCTTCTTCCTGGACCTCGCTTTCCAAATATTTTTCCTGGCAGAATGGCTTGAAGGAGAGCATATTCTGGATTCATTTCGCATAATATGTCCGAAGAATTGTAACTTTCGAGATTTAATGGTGGTCAGAACCTCTCGGTTCTTATTCATTCCTCTAAGGACCTCCTAATTTGTGACTCGGTCAGTCCACGGGATCTTAAGTATTCTCCGATATAGCCACATCTAAAATGCTTTCCGTATTCTTTTTATTGTGTTGAATCGGTCTACGATTCAACACAATATAAAGAACACAGAAGACGTAGCATCGCAGCATTCTTACTTTTGTATCAAGAGGGAGGTTGTGACTCTTGAAGAAGGTCCCCATCTATACTACGAGGTGTAGTTGCAATAAAATGTTTAAACATCGCTTTAAATTTAATAAAAATTAAAATTAAGAGAGTTTTTATTTGCCTTTTTTTGGTAACTTTCAAATCTTCTCATACGTTTAACTCCAAGTAGTTTTTCTTTCTACTAATGACATGTAAAATAAATGAACCAGTATTGATATTAAAATTATGTTTACTGGACAGTAAATGGTAACCAAAACTTGAAGAGTTTGGTATGTTCAAATGTTCTGTGATTATGGGCAGTAGACAACTTTCGAATGGTTCTTCCCAAAAGGCATTGCAATCATCACATCTCAATTTATAAATACAACTCTTATCCAGAGTTACATGTTATTTATATAAGTGAAGGAGAAAAACCTGATGTTATTTGTGGCATTAGGTTGAAGTAAGCCTTGTGATGAATAGCAAGCAAGCTTGCAAGCTTTTCTGTAAGTTTTTTTTCTATTAAGACGCTTATAGATATTTTTAGGATACTAATCATTCTTGAAAGCAATTTGCTTAATAGTACCAAGTTCTAAATTAAAGTTCTTATTTGTAAGTAGAAATTTGAAAAGCCTATAAACTGTAAAAAGCAGCCATTTTGGGTTAGGTTGGATGAATAGATGTTTCATGTATAACATGATCTGTTTGAGTAGGTTTCCTGGAAATATTGTACTCTAGAGAATCTGTTTTACGAGACAAAGTCATATCTAAGAACTTCAACTTATTGTCAGATTCTCGACCAGTGTAACATAAATGTTAGAATGTAGTTTATTAAGATCCAGAATCTATAAGGTATCATCTTGGGTTCCCCATATAAGAGCTATGAAATCATCAACATATCTAGACTAAAAAACTATTTTGTTACTGTTGTTAACAATTTTACTGTTGTTAACAAAGCTGTAATATTAGTTAAAAGAGGTGACCATGGACAACTTATTGCTAAACCTGTTAGTTGTTCATATATTTTTTTAATAAAATCAAAAGGAGTCCTGATTAAGACAAAATTTAAGCATCTTAAGCATAATATTGTTCTGAAACTATTTTCTTGTGACATTTTAAATTAATTACTATTTAACTGGGAATAAGCCACAATTAAAGATAAAAATACGTTTATTGACGTTTCAATTTCCACTTCGGAAATCGTTCTCAAAATACAAACAGTAAATTTACTTAAGCATAAGTTTAATTTATTTAATTTATTTAAGCATAAGTTAAGATGGCATCTTTGTCTTTTACTATGTTGCAATTGTTTAAAAGGTTGTGTGCAAAAGGTAAAGGTAAAGTTTCACCCCTTGATACAGAAGTGAACAAATTGGAAACATTAAATGAAACTAAATAAAAGCTCTTTTTTATTTTGATGTTATTAAAACGTTCTACTACATCTAAAGAATTTCTAAGGCAAAACTTGGGTTTAAAAAAAGTGATGACTGAATTGGGTTGTCAATAACCTCTGATAATAGAGAAAGTGGAGTGTTACAAAAACTTACAACAGGTCTTATAGGACAATTATGTTCATGCATTTTAGGAAGTCCATGTAACCTAGATGTTGCATATTGGAGTACATACAGGGTGTTTCAGAAAAAGGTAACCCCGTCTCTACGGTAGGTAAAAAACTGAAAAATTTTTTACATTTACAAAACATTTTATTTCAAATCCTGTATAAAACGTATATAATAAAATGCCCAAATGGGCTATCACAATTACATTACAAAACGTTTTCGGATTGTTAAATCCATCATCAGTGTAAACGAGGTATACATGCTAGGAGCCACCAAAATATATGGGTCAAAACCCTTTAAATCTTATAAATTTACAGTTGTTTTACATTGTATATGGTTACAGTTGTACATTGTATATGGTTACCTGTTGATAACAACTCTGTTGTGACGCTTGTGACGTTTAAAAAAAATATTATTTATTTTTAGTATCCATTAAAAGTCAATTAAACTATTTCATCCTCTACATGTAGCCATTGGACCTTAGGCAAATGATATAAAAGGAGATTATTTGTTTTAATCTATCTTACAAGACTTTGTTCTCGGACGCGACTAGTTCACGTTCGAGACGCATCGCCCCGCCCCTTATTTTTCCCGTTGGCCCCTCCCTGACCTGGAAATCCCTAATCGCTACTGCGGAAAGTATAAAAATAGGCGATTTTCAGGTCAATCAAGTTAGTCCTTCACGGGCTCTCCGAGAGCTTAGTGCTCTCGGGGCTCTGCTTTTCTTTTAGCCTTACCTTTACTCTGTGGCTGAGTTATTCCACTGTACTTTTGTGTTTTATTTCGACCTTTATTTGGTCATGTAAGAAATAACTTGCCTTTATCAAGGCAAGTCAACGAGAGAAGTTTCCACAAGTCTATACCAGAAAATAGACTTGGGTAGAGGTGCCTTCGTAGACGTTCTCGAAGCCCTCTACAGAGCACCCAGAGGCAGATGATTGACGATAGACCAAATTATCACGTCCCCTGCGGTGACATGGCGCCCGACAACGTGGATTATTCCACTCCCACGACCCAGCTCGACTCGCAGCAGAAGGCTACAACCATTGACTTCAACATGGGTTGAAGTCAAGAGAAGAACGGGGAAAACCACGGAGTGTTAGAATACTATCTGACACTCCGACATCGAGGCCTTCTGCGGACCGGATGCCTTCGACGTGCAGGCGACTTTGACGAGCCAGCCTTCTTCGAAGTCAGAAGCCCCAGATGCCAACGGAAGTCCCGGAGCAGACCCAGTCATCGCCCCCCTACCGAAAAGGCCACCCTGGTACTCTGCGAAACCCCGTTGGATATGGCAGATGGGATCCGGACGACCAAGAAAAAGACGAACCCGTCGAAGGAGTTAGCACACCGATCGAGGATGGACCTGCAGGAGCCGGAGATGCCGTCAACACCACCGACCTCCCTATTACTGCTGTGTAGTGAGTTTGCTCAAAGACAATTTTTTTAATTTTATTTACATTTTCATGTATTTCTATATTTCATACATTATTCTTATCTCTGTATACTTTTTGATTTTCAATAAATTCTTTCCCAGCCACAGAGTCTCCAGAGGAAGGGGGATGTTCTCGGACGCGACTAGTTCACGTTAGAGACGCATCGCCCCGCCCCTTATTTTTCCCGTTGGCCCCTCCCTGACCTGGAAATCCCTAATCGCTACTGCGGAAAGTATAAAAATAGGCGATTTTCAGGTCAATCAAGTTAGTCCTTCACGGGCTCTCCGAGAGCTTAGTGCTCTCGGGGCTCTGCTTTTCTTTTAGCCTTACCTTTACTCTGTGGCTGAGTTATTCCACTGTACTTTTGTGTTTTATTTCGACCTTTATTTGGTCATGTAAGAAATAACTTGCCTTTATCAAGGCAAGTCAACGAGAGAAGTTTCCACAAGTCTATACCAGAAAATAGACTTGGGTAGAGGTGCCTTCGTAGACGTTCTCGAAGCCCTCTACAGAGCACCCAGAGGCAGATGATTGACGATAGACCAAATTATCACGTCCCCTGCGGTGACAACTTGACGATGGAACGTTTAAGACATAACTGATTATTCTAGCTTATTTTGGATAAATTTTTATCAAAATCTAGAATCTTTTGTTGCAAATCGATATGTCACCACTCATTAGGTAGGTTTATTTCGTTTTATTGTTAAAAATATTAACTATAATATTCTTACTGTAAGTAAACACATCCTTACCAAAATCTTAAAATACTTAGGATAAGTAAACACATTGAAAAAAGTTTTTTTGAAAAAGGTTCTGAAAGTTTTCTTGTGGCAATTTAAATAAATCATATTTATTTGGGATTAAGCTACAACCGATTTTAAAATTACATTTTAACTAATATTTGGCGTTGTGATTTGTATTACGGAAATCGTTTTTAAAAAGATTATTATAAAAAAATTTGCAAAAAAAGTTATTAGCAGAATATGTTATATATTAATCATTTACGAATTGATTACATTACCTACTTAAAATAATATAAAATATCAAACAGTGAACTTACCTGAGACAGTCCTAAATCTGGTAACCACTCGCTGCAAACCCAAGTGTGTCCTAGTTGCGCGATGCAGGGATACCTCACAAGTGCTGGATTCCGATGCTCCTCGATAGCCAATCGAATCTTCTTTCTGTGCATCGGATGAGTAATTCCCAAGCCGCATTCCAGTTCCAGATCACTGAGCTCCAAGAGCACCTGGCCATGTAAAGGACCAATCTATAAGATTTTTACATATAATCATGTCTTTTTCCGAAGGAATGTCCCTCAAATGCCAATCAAAAATTTTGAAAATGCTGAACTAATCTTAAGAATTCCTGCTTATGTGGAACATAGTCTAATGCTTGGGTTTTGTTAAATATAAAAAAAATACATAATATACATATTTTTATATCAGGTATATCTATATTTTTTTACACTAAAGACGTGTAGTTTTATCAGAATGAGAACTAGTTACTTATCTAGTTTATTTACATTGGTTACTTTACATAAAAGACCACGTATACTTTATACACTAATAACTGACTAATTTTAGAAACACATATACTTCCATTAAATCTGTCAATTTTTTCAACTAAGGCAAGGAATTCGGACAATTTTGATCCCTTAGATTTGAAGATTAGATATAAATGTTTAAAACTCAATACTATTAAAGAGCTTCTAAAACTGTTTTGTTGTAAAATATTTAGTCTAAATATTATTTAATATGAGATTAGGCAACAAAAAAATGCAAATCATACATGAAAAATACAATGTTAGGGTTCAGAGATGTAATGCAGCTGTGTTCGCAGCCCAAGTTCTCTTTCAAACATTTAGAGCATTATATAAATTAAGCACGATGAGTAATTAAGTCCTTAAGTATGATAATAAAGACCTACGAATATTGAACAATATACAAGATAAAAATTTTTTAACAATCAGGGTGGGAGATCCATTAACAGAAAAAAAAGAAATAAAGACAGGAGTATAGCGAGGATGCGTACTCTTCTTCTTCTGCTACTTCTTCTTCTTTCTTTTTTCTTCCTTTTATATAGACATGAATTTGTCTTTTTTTCAATGTGCCTTCAGTAAGTTGTCATTCCATCGTTTTCGTGGTCTTCCTACTGATCGTCTTTCTATTGGGGAACCGTCTCTTGCCGTCTTTACTAGTATATTTGTTGTCATTCGGCTTATATGATCTTTCCATTCTACTCTTCTATTTCTTACCTAGTTTTGGTGTTATCCACCTTGCATCTATGTCGTATATCTGTACTTCTAGCTCTGTCCCATGGTGTCTTACCATCAATTTTTTTAAAGTGTTTTCGTCTCCGCTGTTTGTAACATCCTTTTTGTCCTCTCTGTGTCAGAGTTTCTTGTTTCTGCTACGTATGTCATTATTGGTCTGATGACTGTTTTGTAAATTCTGCCTTTCGTTTCTTTCCCGATATTTTCATTTCTCCATATTGTTTCATTTAGGTAGCCTGCGGCTCTGTTTGCTCTATTCACTTGATCTTGCACTTAAGTTTCGATTTTTCCGTCGTTAGATAATCTGATGCCTAGATATTTAAATATCTCTTCAATACTATATAACATATATTCAGAACACAGAATAAACCTACTAAAGTAGATGTATAGGAAGAAATGCTGTAAAACGGCCAACGACTGAACAACATACGTTACGTAGATGATACATTCATCTTCACAGATTGCACACACTTATTACACAAAAAAGAGAAAAGTAAAAGATTTGATTTAGATTTTATTATTAAAAAGACTTTGTTCATCAGTAAAAACAAAATTATACCTGAAACACTACTGTTAGTCAACCAAAAACCACTAGAATCGATCATCAATTCCTGCTATTTGTGCTGAAATCACATAAAAGTACATCACACATCACACATTTATCAAAATGAACAAGACTTTTTTAGTAGTCACGATCTACAACTCTTAATTAAGGTCCGCCTTCTGAGATGTTCTATTTTCTCTGCTCTTTTGTATAAAGTGGAATCGTAGACCTTGTTTGAGGTATCCAAGAAGCGCCTTAAAGTATTTGAAATTTGTGCTACTGCCGCATACTGAGAATCGCCTTGATGGACAGAGTTACTTATAATGAGGTCTTAAAAAGAATGAGAACGGACCCAGAAATAATAATAATTATAAAACAAATTTTTAGAACAGGAGTCAATAAAGTTAAAATAGCCTTGTTGGTAGCCAACAGTCGCAACAGATATGCACTACCAGACGAAAAGTCATAGTTGGCTTGAATGAGAATGAGTTGCTGTTTTTGTTTTCTGGGGGGCGAATAAATAATTATTGGAAAACAACATATATATATATATATATATATATATATATATATATATATATATATATATATATACACTGCTTTTGCTACTGGGAACAGAGGACGGTTTATTTAAACTATCGGTAGTGACATGTTTTACGCAGGGGAGTTTGCGGGAACATTTCTGACCGTGTGCCGTCATATCTATTATTGAGAAAATTTGGTTTTTTAAAAATCTTTATGGCTTCTAAAAATCTTTATGGGATAATTCTTTGTTTGTAAAAGCAAATGGAAGCTATGGGTCTGAAGTTTTTAAAATTAATTTTGTGACCTGTATGAAGAAATGTTCTAATTATGAAGATGATGTTGACCTAGAGCTGAAATTAAATCGGAATTGCAAACAGAAATGGAATGTTCGTAAATTCTATTCTATTCTATATAAGATCCAGGTGGTAGCGAGTAGGTACTCTTCTACAATCCCAGTGGAGGATAGACTTACTTCAGGGATGCGAGCCTGCCCTACGCGAGCCTTGATTCTCTCTCAACTCCTGTGGAGAGAAATCATGTCCTAACCCCATTCCTACCCAATACCTACTATCCTACCAATTTCCCAAACCAACTCTCCAACCCGCCTGGTAAGCATGGTGTTTAAATGCCAAAACCCCCTCAGCATGAACAGACATTCAAGAAAACGGCCCTCAGTCCCCGGCAGCTCGCTAGTTCCCGACCAAGGCAGCGGTAGGACTCACGAACAGCGGGTAGAGGGTGCGAAGAATCCCCGGGATCTAAGAGGCTACCAAGAACGACGAACGTTGCACATAATTACGTATAATGTAAGAACCTTATGTAAGGATAAAAAAATGATAGAACTGAAGGAAGAACTCAAACATGTGAAATGGAATATTATACGAAGTAGCGAAGTCAAAAGAAGAGGTGAAGATTAGGTCAAACTAAAATCAGGAAACATATTCCACTATAAAGGGGAAACAGAATCGACAACTGGAGAAATAGGTTTATTAGTACACAAAAAATAACAGAAAAATATACAGAGCATTGACTGCATTTCCCCAAGAGTTATGTATATAAATCTAAAACTAAATAAGAGATACAATCTAAAAACAATCCAGGCATACGCCCCCACCAGCTATTACGAAGATGAAATGGTCAAAGCCTTCTATGAGGAAATCGAAAGATCAAAAAAGCAGGAACCGGCTTATTACAATCTGATAATGGGAGATTTTAACGGGAAACTCGGAATGAAAAGGGACGAACAAGAAGTGTCAATCGGAGTTTTTGGAATCGGAGTAAGAAACGAAAGAGGCGAAATGCACCAACTTTCTATTGCAACACAAACTGTATGTAATGAACACCTTTTTTAAGAAGAAAAAGAATAAAAAATGGACGTGGGCTAGTCCAGACGGAAGAACTAAGAGTGAATATGATTATATAATAACAGACCAAAAGCAAATTTTTCAAGATGCCAGTGTATTCAATAAACTATCAGTAAAGAAAGAGCAAAGATGATAAACAGTTGCAAACGCATAGTTTGGAATTCACCAAATCATCCAGAAGCATACATAAAAAATATAGCTGAAACCTTACAGAGTAATAATCTCAAACCTCTAAGTATCGACGATCACAATAAATTAATAACAGACTCGGCTAGAAACGCACAACTCAAATTTTGCAAAAAAATGACACCAAAAGTGAAAGGATTAGCAAAAATACAAAAGCTCTCATGGAAATACGACGAAACCTAAGCGAAAACAAAAAGGGAAACAAAGAAGAATATAAAAAACTAAACAAAAGAATTTCAGCGGAAATTAGAAAAGATGTAAGAAGACATAATACTAATGTAATTACTCAAACACTAGAAGATAACAAAGGTTTAAAGATAATGAAAAGAAAACTAACACAAAGTAAAAAAGAAATATACAAGCTGAGAGATAAAGACGGAAAGGCAACAACAGATAAACAAAACATTCTGAAAATAACCAGAGAATTTTATAAAGACCTCTATACCAGCCAAAGACCACAAGACAATTTCCCGACACGAGTAAAGACTCTCATAAATCAGGAATCGAAAATACTTTTACCCATTACTGTGTCAGAAGTAACAGCAGCTTTAAAGGAAATGAAGAACCATCGATCGCCTGGTGATGATGGACTCGTTATCGAGGCAATAAAAGCAGGAGGAGAAATTTTATTAAAATCAGTAAGCTAACTGTGTAATAAATGGTTACATGTGCGTACAATTCCAAAAGACTGGAACAATGCAGTAAGTCTTTTTACACAAAAAAGGCGATATTACAAAATTAAAAAATTATATACCCATCAGTCTCTTGACACATATGTACAAACTCTTTATAAAAATCTTAATAAAGAGACTAATACCTAAACTTGATTTCTATCAGCCCAAAGAACAGGCAGGCTTAAGGACATGATATGACACAAATGACCATTTGCATACCATTAAGATCTTAATTGAAAAGTGCATCGAGTACAACAGACCACTGGCTCTTGCATTTGTCAATTACGAGAAGGCTTTTGATTCTGTAGAATTTGAAACAGTACTGGCCCTAGAACAGTAGAAGCCCTAAATTAAAGCAGAATAGATTACAGGTACACGACACTAATTAAAAACATGTACCAGAACGTTACATCAAGTATGCGACTACACGAAGACACAGAAAAATTCAGCGAAAAATCTGCGAATAAACTCAGAGTTACACAACGAGCCATGGAACGTGCAATGCCGAACGTGAGCCTTTGAGACCATATAACAAACCAACAAATCAGGCAAAGATCAAGAGTTCAAGACGTCATCGAAAGAACCACGACGCTTAAGTGGATCTGGGCAGGGCACTTAGCCAGAACACAAGATGGACGGTGAACAAGACGTATTATGGAATGGAGGCCCAGAAACTATAAAAGAAGCCAAGGACGACCACCG